TTATTATTTTTTAATATTTTATTTAATTTCAGTCGAAAAATTTTTGAATTTTGAAGTATATAATTTTTTACACCTTTTTAGAGAAAATAATTTTGCCTGACAAAACATAAAATTTAAGTGAAATCGCTCGAATAATTCTTAAGAAGTGGAATTTCAAAAAATTAAATTTTTTTAAAGGTTAATAATAATTAAATTAATTATTATTATTAAATTAATATTATATATTAATATTAAATTAATATAATATGATATTAAATTAATTAATTTTTAAGATTCGATTTCTCAGAAACTATTCGATAAATTTCCCTCAAATTTAGTATTTTACGACGTAAAATTATATTCTTTAAAATTATGTGAAAAATTATATTCCTTACAATTCAAATATTTTTCGACAATAATTAAATATAATAATAAAAAATTACAAACATTTATTAAATGTTATTTTTTGTATGCAATTATCTTTGGTTAAAATAATTGGTGCGTAAAAAAAAATTCTCGATATATGACGAAATACACAAAAAGTAAAATTAATATTAAAGGGTCTAAACTTTGGATCGATTTCGACCGATTTCGATCAAATTTGATATTTTATCATGTAAAATTACAAACTTTAATCTGATGCAAAATGTTTTATACCTTATAATTTAATTTTTTCTCGATTATTATTAAATAAAACAAACAAAAAAATTTTTACAAAGATTTGTTTTTTGCAGGGAACTATCTTTGGATAGACGAGCTTTATAATCGTTTGCTCAAAAATTTTCATTGTGCTTAAAAAGTTTTCGAAATATAACGATAAATACTCAAAAAATCAAATTAACATTAAGGGGTCTAAGACTTAGACCCCTCTCCAGATTAAACTTTTGGGACTTATTTCCAAAATTGCTGCTACCCCCTATGCTTTGGGGGCAGAAAAATGAATCCTTAGAAAAATGAGTATGTTTATTCAGAGAAAATACATTTTTGTGCCTGATTTCGTATCTTAAAATATTATTTGAAACTTAAAATATTATCTGTGTATAAATTTTAACATATTTGAAGTCACATCCTAGAGCCATAAACATTGAGTCCTAGAAATTGAAAATCCGATCTTTATTATCATCTGATCAAATTCAGGGTGGCTCATTTTTTTTTCACTGTATTTTACTTTAGCATGAAAATATTCAATTTTCTGAGACACCTCCAAACTGGTTTTTGTCTTATATCCTTGATATCTATTTTGCCTCGTGTCTTTGTCTTGTATTCTATATTTTTTGTCTATGTCTGTTTCTTTTAAAAACTAGAATTTTACTTCATAAATTCTGTAATGTTAAAATAAAAGATAAGAGGGTTGACAAAAAACTTACATTTGAGTTAATATGATTAATTACTTAACAATTAATTTTTGTTGAGTGTCTTATTTCTTAAAAATTCAATTAATTTTGAAATGAACATCTTCTTTTAATTAATCTATACATAATAATAAACGCGGCTGTGTGTGTGTCTGTTTGTCTGTCTGTAATCACAATATATCGTCCCAGAAGCCTCGCCCAGGCACGAAACTCGGCACATAATTGTGTTTTGACATAATGAAGAAGTATTTTTTTCTTTTTCAAAAATTTGCATTAGTTTTTTAGTTATCAGTCATTTTGTAAGAAAATCATGCTTTTTCGTGTTCAAAGAGCCATATTCAAAAAACTATTAAAAATGCATATACTTTTCTCCACTGTTATAAATGTATGCTAATGCGAACCTTACAATTGAAATATTAATTTTCGACAACTTAAACCAATAATATACGAAAGAAATAATAATTTAATTGTAAGGTTCGCATTAGTTTACATTTATTAAAGTGGAGAAAAGTTTAACTTTAGTATTAAAAATGTGGCAACATATTCGATACGTAAATAGAACGATTGCTTTGATATATTTGTCGCTGTTCATAATTGTTACAATAAGTTTTTCTTCTTCTTTCCACTCTCTATTTTGTTTTCTTAAGCGAAGACGATAATTTTTCTAGTGATATAAAAATAGAAATTGATTCCATAAAAAATTAATTCGTTTTCGTGTTCTTTTCATGTATTTAGCATTTTAGTTTTTTTTTCTTAAGCGTTGTAGCTATATAATATATAAAATAGGAATTTATTATATGTTTTTGAAGGAACGATCGCACTTACCTTGGATCACTTTGGTTTTTCTATTCTTTATTTTAACAATTTTTATTAAATGTAATTAGTTATTTTCAGAAAGTTTCAGTTTGCAGGTAAGCACTTAGATATTAATATTGAAGTTTCATGATTTGCTTTCATAGTAATTGTTGTTCTAAAGTATTCGTTGACTTCTTAAAAACCCTATTACTGACATGGCAGAACCACCTTCCAAAAAACTTTGTATTTTGTCAAAGGAAAAGATATTAAGAGATTCTCAAAGAAGAAGAAGGGCCCAAGAAACGTCTGTGGAGCGTCAAAGAAGGATGGAACATGACCGAATTTCGACAAGTAATTCTAGAGCCCAAGAAGTATCAGAGAAACGTCAAAGAAGATTTGAAGAGGATTGTGCTTAATTTTCAGCTATTGGCCAATGATGATTTCGAAAGCAACTTTTGTATGCTTTTACAATTTCTGTCTGCTCCTACGAGAATTTGTACTTGTTCATAAGTCTAGCTAACTTCATTTAAAGAAATTTTTAAACTCTTAAGTTTCTTCAGCCATGGACCTCTATTTACAGGTAATATCTTCTCACAAATAACATTTTGGCCCAACACTTCCAAAGTGCTAGAGAATTTTCCTTTCAACGATGCAACTCTTATTTCATATTTCTTGTGTTTTCTAACATCAGTAGTTACACCTCCAAAACGTGAATGAGCCACATTCATTCCTTCTAAAGGAGTATACATCATCTTCTGGGCAACGGTATTAAGGATATAGGATCTCTGCGATGCTGTATCAATTAGCAGACGAACATGCATTTCTTTACCATTGGAGACAAGCTTGGCGACCAAAGTTTGCAGAAGAACGTCTGGCGTCTGATTTAAATTCGCCATATTAAGTTCATTTACGCATGTTTTCGTCTGCACCTTTTCTCCCTCGTTCGAAGCTGATTTTCTCATTTGTTCTAAGTTTTCACACATGAGTGTTACATGTTTTCGACCACATATCAGGCATTTTACGAAATTCCTGCAGTACTTAGCTACGTGACCGGGAGCCAAACACGCAAAACACCCATTTCTACTTCTTACTTTTTCCTGCCTCTCAACTAAAGGCTTTTTCTGGGCGGAAAAACAATCGAAACTGTTATGTTTGCCATCACAAAATAGGCAACCTCTTCTTTGTTCTTTGACGTAAGAAGCTGCGTGTAAAACAGCGGCTGTTGATGGTGCTCGAGATTTATTCTTTTCATATTCAACTTTTTTCTTCTTAGCTACCACCCTGTTATCTTCAACTTTGAGCAGGCCAAAACCATCCACAGCTAAATTAATTCGGGCTTCACCCTCCACTTCTGCCTTTAAAAACACCATCAGTTTGTTTAGCCTTTCTTTGGCTTCTAATTTTGGAGTTAAGGAATTACTCCGATGATAGGCCTTCAAAAACTCTTCCGGCAAACAGGATTCCACCATCGTGTAGAGAATAGATGCACACTTGTCTGTAATAACCCAAGAGTGCCTAATGCTCTTAAATATGTTTCCAGCTTATCATATAAGGAGGTAAGCGGAAAAGATCTATTCACCTGAACATTAATAATTAATTTGAGAAGTTTTCTTAGGTATATCCCCACCAAAAAATCCTTGTTTCCAAATCTCGATTTCAGACTATCGATAGGTTTAGTATAATTTGCCCAGGTTGGCGGGAAACTTTCTACAATCTCTCTCGCTCTGGAACCCATCACAGTAGCTTGTATCAGATATTTTATTTTATTTTATGACCGCCGTTGAACAGTCGACCCAATTTTTGGGTTTACGACTACTAATGTTCAACGCCGTAGCCTTGTAATTTTGAACCAATCCAGAAGACAAGGAAACTCCTGGATCGGTACCCCCAGAGGTATTGATTTGTTATGTATGTATCAGATTTTGGAATTTGTCTTCAAGGGCAATATCCGCATCCTTAACTATGTGCTGAAATTGCCTCCAAAACGGAAGCCATTCCTTGACATCGCCGCCAAACTGCCTGAACTCCAGCTTTGGTAATGTAAACTTTCGCCTAGCATTAACAGCTTCGGCATTAATTGAACTTGAATTGGCGGCATTTTGAATTTTCGATTCTCGATTTTGCGCCTGTAACTTGGCCATTTCCAATTCATGAGCCATTCGGGCTTCTTTTTCTTTTTCTTGAAGTATAGCCATTCGGGCTTTTTCCAATTCTATGGCTTCGTTCTCCTGTTCGTCTTGTTTCTTTCTCTCTTTAACAGTATCTTCAAATACCTGTTTTACGAATTCTGGATCCTTTTTGTATTCATCGCTAGCCTAAATCAAGTCTTTTAATTTTGCTAAAGTAGATCCAACCGGTACAGTCCGCAAAAAAAAAAAAAAACGAA